CTTAACTTCAGAGTCCGAAATAAATCACAGAATGTTCCAGCTACCGCAGGCCCAGAGGACAGTGACACGCAGAGTAAGTCTCAAGACTACATTGGTAGATCTAATCATTAGTGAACCACCTCTAAGCATGTGCTGTATATCACCCTGCAGGCAGCAGCACATGCTAACTTCTAAATGTCCTGTGTCTCTGATGCGGACAGACTGAACAAATTATGACTTTGTCATGCAAACAGACATAAAGAGAGTGTTGTAGTTTGAGTGAGTCAGCTGTGACAGTGCCTGCAGGGGTGTGTATTTACAGTACGTACAGTATGTATTACAGTGTGTGAGGCTCCTCTGTGTCTGTCAGGGCTGCAGGACAACACATCCAAGAGGCTTCAGGTTCTGAGCACATGGAGGGAGATCCAACACCTGGAGGAGGAGGTGAAGAGGAAACCGGTGTCCTCTGTTACAATCGCAGACACTGAAAGACACGTCAAAGAGCAAAGGGTACTGGGAGATAAACTGCTGTTCATACTCATGTATTCACCCTGTTCCTCAGAAGTAAACATTTTGGCTGATATGTCACATTAAACATCAACTTTTTTTTTTTTTTTAATGTTTTCCTGGTTTTTTTCCTCAGAAAGAGATATTGAGACTAATAGCCTCCAATGACCGTCTAAAGATCACCAACAAGGCAAGGGAGTTAGCTTTTATTTCCTGTGTCTTAAGTGCATGTTCTGCTATGCGATAGTGGGTCATGTTTTTGTCTCCTCTGAAGGATCTGGAAAACAACATCAACATGGTACTGAGCAAAGAGAAAGCAAGCAAGGCCATGAGACGGTACATGTAATATTGTATATTCGTGTATGTATGTAAGACTAATGACAATTTTTTACCTGATGCTTATTTCTGTATTTTCTACCAATAGGATGTTGTGGGACGAAATACACAGTAATCTAAACACAGAGTGTGGATAGCTTCATCAGCAAGTAAACCGAGGGATCATTTCTTGAGATGGACATACAAAGTGCAATAAACTGAAGGAAATACATTTTCTACCAGCAAGCTACTTTATCTTTCTTTGTTTTTATCCTTTAGTTTTTTGTACAGTAATAACACTGTTGATGAAAGCCTACAACTGCCACCGCCATTAGCTGCTTTATATACTGTAAGTTGAATCAATATATTGCAAAACATTTTAGACAATCATGTGTTTTGTGTATAAGAAATCTTAATTTACATATTGAATAGTTTTGTAGTCATTATTTTCGACGAGCTCTACATGTTAAACTAATGATGAAAGTACTATATTTGCTTCTGAAATGTGTTGATGTAGATGTATAAAGTACAGTAGCATAAATAAATATACTCAAGGACAACTCGTACAACAGCCTCAAAACTATACTTAAAACAGCTTTGAGCAATTGTTTTTAGTGAGAGAACGTCAGGTTTCGTTGTTCAGCCGTCAGTTTATAAACAGCAGAGGTGGGGACTCGAGTCACATGACTTGACTCGAGTCAGACTCGAGTCGCATATTTTTTGACTTGAGACTTGCTTGACTAACATTGATAAAAGACTTTACTTGACTTTGACTTGGTATTCATGACTTGAGACTTGACTTAAGCTTGAGACAGATGACTTGAAAGGACTTGACTGTTTAAAATTAAATATTTGCGTTTGTTTTTGTAGTGAGATATTACGTTTAGTTTTTTCGAAAAACGTGATTATAGCGCCGTGCGCGCAAACCTGGCAACCCACTAGAAGGCAGGAGTGTCCGTTAACATGGCAGCAGCTAGCTTTACTCCACAAATAGTGAAGTTTGGATTCAAGGATTATTTTGTCGATGACGGTAATAAGAAGAGAACAGCGATATGCAGGGTCTGCAGCATAAAGATCAGTGACACGACCACCACAACATCCAACTTCATTCGTCACTACAACAAACCCCACAGAGAAAGGTGCGTGCATGTGTTGTGTTAGCTAGAAAGCTAACGTTAAGTTTAAGCTACGTTAGACTTGGTTTCAAATCGATTAAGCAAAGAGAAGACAAAACGGTAAATGAACACTAGAACCGCCGAGAGAGAGAGAGAAAAAGAGATGCCTCGTTTATTTCCCCTGTGTTATTATCAGAAGTTACTGTAAACTTTTGAATAATGTAGTTCATCTACTTTTAGTATTTTGTTTAAATGTTTTAATTATGTTGTTTTTGTTTGTAGAAGTGCATCATTCCTTGATTTATTGTAAAATGAATCTGAACTTTTTGATCTGTTATGATGATAAACTGAAACAATTTCTAAATTAACCCAATTAAGTGAGTTTTAAATCGTCCTACTTAGTTTATAAGGAAATTATGAAGAGGAACAAATTAAATGATTTAAAAATGATATCTACTGTATGTAGGCGCTGACGCTGTTGGCGGTTCTAGTGTTAACAGAAATTTAAATTAATATGTGTAATGGCATGGCAAATGCAAATTAGTCGCTTTTCGGCGCCTCCCGCTTTTTTAACGCTGATTTGGGTGACTCGTGTAATTCGTGGAGAACCGAAGAATTTTCGTTTTGGGGGGGGGGCTGGGTCCGTCAGTCGGACGGACGGACAACTTCTCACTTCAAAAAAGAAGAAGAAATCTAGACCGCAAAATAATTAAACAAGCGAGTGCCTGTTTTTCCTGGCCAATGGCAGGCTCATTGAACACAACACGAGCGTAACGTCTCTTCACGTTAAGTTCCCCACTCCTGCTGTAAATAATAATAAAAACCCTTGATTTATAACTTAACATCTCTGTCTCCTATTGATCAGAGTATATTATAAAGAATAGCCAGTTAATTGAAGCATTATAGCACAGGCCTTTGTCAGATGGTATATTTGACACTGTTTTTTTTCTGCTTCGAATAGTTCTCTCTTTTTTCACCATACCTGTGTTTGCATCCCTCTGTATGATTTTCTTACCTGGAGTTCTGCCTTTTTGAACAGACTTTTTGAGTCCTAGCTATATTGTCTGCAGTTCTAGGGTTAATATTTATCTAATATGATTGTCATCGGTCTAAATTAGATTTCAAATGATTAACTGTGTATGTAATGAAGATCATAGTGTGGGTTGAATCCATTTTCATAACCACTGTTTTTTAACTGATTTAAATGCGGAAACTGGGCTTATTCATCAGAATTTGTGTATGACTTGACTTGACTTGCTTGACCTGAGCAATGACTTGACTTGACTTGCTTGATTCTCACCACAGTGACTTGGGACTTGCTTGATACTTGTAGATCAAGACGTGAAACTTGCTCATGGCTTGCACATGTAGGACTTACTCCCACCTCTGATAAACAGCAGTGAAATTGACACTTCACATATGGTGTTCTTGTGCGCCAGGGCAGTCTAATCAGTGCGTTGTTAATATGAACAACTTCATCCTTGGGGTAGAAATCAAATTAGTTGAACTGTATGTACAGCCTGGAGCTACTTGAATGCCAATTAAACAAAAGAGAGCTGCTTTTAAAGCAGAATAAAAGGTCTGGATATCGTCTCATAAATCGCTTTATTCTGTGATACCACAGAGGATTAGGAGGATAATAAGTCCTTCTCTCATTTCTGGCTACGAGAAACCAGAAAGTATTCATTTGTGCAGAGTGAATGAGGCATTGGAAGAAAAAACACGAAACCCCATAATATAATTCACAACTGGTAACGATAAAACAGACCTCTGACGTCGGCAATGGAGATATATAGGATAGTTCAATTATTGAAGTACTGTATATAATGTTGACATGGTATTACTTTACTTGACATTTTCTGCTTTTGACTTTTTATTCAAGTACATTTATCTAACTTTAGTTCATGATACATTTCTATAACACCAATCTACAGGGAAGCATATCAATCTAAAAGTGGCTTCACATTGACAACATAATAATGGCCTTACATGTATTTGAGAGTGATTAACACAATAATATGAAATTTAGTGTAACATTCTAAAAGGAGGCATTTTGCACGTAGTGAATACTATTTGTTTGAAAAGTGAGTACATTTTGGGGCTGGTATTTTAACATATGTTAGTACACTGTTTTATATTTTTTGGTTTACAGAGAAAACTACAAAATCCAGTTGAAAGGTCAAGAAGCCACGGGATTAAATAACAGCCTTACTCTCAACTTCAACTATTTAAATTGAAATTGAACTTTCTTTTCAGATTATAGTGATTCTATGTTTCCTTTTCTAAAAGTCATGAGCTCTGCTTCCTGATTGTTGGATATTGACGCTGAAAGGTCATAATAACTATTTTCCGAGCATGAAGGGAATGCTACTCTTCAAACACCAGAGGGCAGCAGAGACAAATGCATTTAAAATCAATGTTCTGATTGTCTGTCTACTTATTCAGTGAAGTGTCAGACTGTGAGACCTTTATCAAAACAACATGAAGATGGTTTGAAGTTTGTGAGATCTTGATAAAGGTCACAGGCTGAAATGCCAGCATAACAAAGAAAATATATTTGCCACCAGGAGATGGTGCTGCTTCCTCTTCATCAGGAGCCACATACCTTCACTGTTGTTATGAAACAGCTGACTTCATTCCCTGTATTTTATATACCAAAATAAAAAACATTACTCCAATGCTGTTATTGCTCTTTCCCCCCTCCCAGCTACATTTACTTCACTTTAATGATGTGTGGTTTGAAATGATATAATGTGTGACTGTTCTTTGTTATGTATGTGGTTGTATTTTTGTATATTTGTGAAATAAAAATGAAAAAATGTGCCGAGAGTTAAAGAGGAAACCAAAGCACTTCCATGTTCCATGTGTCTTTTAAGTCTTTAAAAACCTAATATAGCAATGAGATTACATTATTACTTTGATGTGTTTGAGAGCCACAGAGAATGAGAGGATTACAGTAATTATAGAAGCTTTTTTTCTATTGTATTGATATGAGGGGACCTTTGCTCCCAGCGTGAGCGATTGCCTTGCTGTCTGCCACTGTCTGAGCATAGGTCAAAGTCTGCTCCCCAGTGGCAGAGCCAGTAGGATCACAGAGTGTTTTGTCCCTCACTGTCTCACTCTTCTCCCTCTGTTAACAACACCTCGCCTGAGGACTGCTTCCTCTGCTTGGATTGTCACCAGCTCACCACCATGCTGTTCCGGACTGTGCTTCTGCTCACCTTATGCATGTCCACAGGCATGAGTGCCACTTTAGGCTTCTACCTGGCTCAAGCAAAGGAGGAGGAGGCTCCCACTGTGGAGACTGTCACTCATGGGATTGTGGAAGCTGCCCCTGTAAGCACAGCTGAAGAACATGTTGTTCCCGCAGATCCAAAAGAAGATGATCCACCTGGGGATGAGGAACATGTCGCTCCTTCAGATCCAAAAGAAGATGATCCACCTGCTGAGGAGGAACATGTAGCTCCTTCCGATCCCCAAGCAGATGATCCACCTGCGAATGAGGAAGATGTAGCTCTGGCAGATCCCAAAGAAGAGGATCCATTTGCAGCTGAGGAACCTGAAGCAAATACCATTGTTGGGGACAATCAAGTGGCGGATATACTTGAAGTGGACAACGTAGCAGCTGGTGAACCAGAAGTGGTTGTGCCTGTAGCAGAAGAGCCAGAGACACGCAGTGATGACGCTGCTGGAGACACCCCTGCTCTGGAAGATCTTACTGAAGCTGAAGCAGTCACCCAGGAGCAACCTGAGGCAGAGGAGGACAACAACATCAAACCAGTCCAGACAGAGCAGTTCCAGGACGAGCCCGAAGCAGCAGAAGAAGAAGATAACAGCTGGAGCTTCTACTCAATTAGAAATAGTTTCCAGTCTATGCACGGATACTACAATTCCCTGGTGGAGCTTGTGGGGGGACGCGATGGTGTGTGTCAGTACCGCTGCAAATATGGTAAGAAGGAAGTCTTGAATACTCTGTCATTTATAAGAACAAGTATTTTAGTGGCCTGCAAATGGGCCTCAGAGAGAGCTAGATAGTCAAGGTTGTTGTTTCTGTTTTCAAATAATCCAAAACAAATATTTTAAACGACTTTCAAATGATTATTATGTTGTCCACATCCCATAATCCTTCTGTTGTTGCGTATTTGTAATCTCAGCACACTTTAAGTGTCAGATCAATCACTCTGCTGTCTGATATCAGCTTCCTATTTACAACATGCTAGGCCTGCAGTCTGCTGATAGGCTGAACACATCCTGGTTATCAGTCTGAGAGGTACTGTAGATGTACAGACCCACAATCAATACAGATGTTCTCAAACAAAAGAGACATTATCTGTGAAACTACACACACTCAGTAATAGAGATATAGTGTGGATTCTTGAGTACGACATTAGTGGTTAATGTACCTTTTCTTTAGTTTGAACATTAAATGGTTCTTCTGTTTTTTCGTAGGAGAAATTCCTAAACCTCGCCCCGGCTACCAGCTCCCAGAGCCCAACGGCTGCAGCTCCTCTCTGGTTGGATTCCAGGTGAATGACGCAGTAGGTGGCCTGTTCATAGCACAAACAGCCCAAACATACATAATTTAAGGAACACTTCACACTCAAAAGGACCATTTGTGTATCAATTACCCACCCTGTGTTACTTTCAACTTTGAATGAAAAGTAACCCTATGCCTGCATGTAAAAATAATAAGAATACTCAAAATGGAGAAGGGTTAGGGTTAGCCTTGATAACTTATAATAACTTTTTCTCCTGTTCACTTATTCTCAAACACATGCATTTTTGCTTAAACCTTACTATTATTATACTTATGCAGCAGTGGCAGGAAACTTATGTTTTTCGAAAACCTTTCTCCATTTATTTTAATCTTCTTTCTTCACTGCAGTGGCATGCGAGACATTTCTTCAAAAGTAACACAGATGAGTCATTGTAGTTTTAATTTTTAAGATAAAGTAGCCTATAACTTTAAGCTCATAATGTAGCTAACAACACATGCTGTAGATCAGTGGTCACCAACCTTTTTAAGCCCAAGATCACCGACCTTGGCCTAGGTCAGGGGTGGCCAACCAATCAGAGGTAAAGAGCCAATAATTTTACTGTGTTACTGCAAAGAGCCACATCATACACACATGCTGGGTGTATGTCCCGACCTCTCTCTCTCCTTCTCTCTTTTGCACTCAGCCTTTCTGTGTGCCCCGACCTCTCTCTCACACATACAAAATGAAAATCTAAAAATGAACAATAATTGACACACACACACACACACACACACTCAAAGACACACCCTCCCATAGAGACACACACCCTCTCACATACAGAAACATATACCTCTGCTCAGCCAGATTTCCTATAAATGTCACAGTGCATGATATTGACAGAAATTGACTTAAACCTCTCCTACCAGTATTAAGACCAGAGGCCAGTTATAGTCAACCATTAATATTGTGTCTCACACACAAACTCTCAGTTAAAAACATTTGAAAAAAGTAGTTATCTTACTATGCATGTTGCCTCTTTGAAACGTGCAGAGGATGTGGAAGGGGCTCAAATGCATGAAAGAGCATCATTTAATAAAAATATGCCTGGCCTTTATTCTGCCTGTATCTCACACGCACATTCATGACCGTCATTTAAAAATAAATAAAGTGTATTTTTGTTAATTCTCCTCACATGACATCTCAACTTTTACCTAACCCTCTAACTGACAGAAGCTCTGCTGACAGAGATGCACTTTCTCTCTTTTTTATTTTTTTACCGCGAATCACCAAATTCGTGAGTCCTTCTGTGTCAGTTGCCAGCTTTCCGGGAGCAGGCCTTCTCACATATACATATACCACTGCAAATTGTTACCATTTTGATTTGACAACATTATATTGAGTTATTACGGTTTTATCAGAGTTATATTTCTGCCAATCAGAAGCAGATCTCTCTCTTCACTGTCACATCGCGAGTGCAGTAAAGCCCGCCTCCAGTACTGCAGGATCTGCATTCTGATTGGCGAAAGCACTTCTTTGTGTGTTGTTAACCCTTTGTGAACTGGGATACATATGCGTAAAAAAAAAAAACACAATTACAATTCGATATGAATTGAGGAGCCGCATGAGACTGGGCAAAGAGCCGCATGCGGCTCGAGAGCCGCGGGTTGGCCACTCCTGGCCTAGGTGAAAGGCGAGACCTATTGCAGAATTGAGTGAAAAAGACGACCCAGACAGTGCTTCCAATTTGAGGCCTTTTATATAGGCTAATTGCATCTGAATTACTGTAACAATGAAGGCTCCATAATCAGCTCACAGCATATAGGCAGGGGTAAAGTGCTATTTTTTATGAGTGGGGGGCGGACCTCACCTCCTCTAGGGGGGTAAAACACCTGCTCGACCTGGGTTTCTTAATAAACACAGAAAAGAGCATGTTGTCCCCAGCCCAGACTGTACTTTTCCTGGGCCTACACCTGAATTTGGTGCTCTTTACAGCCCGCCTGTCAGCAGAGAGAGTGAAAGCCTTCAGGGCTTGCCTCGCTCATTTCCAACCACGCAAATATGTTCTCTTCAGATCATGTCTGCGGTTACTGGGGCTCATGGCGTCAGCCATCCTGGTGGTGGGACGCTTACACATGAGGGAGTTTCAGCGCTGGGTAGCTGCCCTCAGACTGGACCCTGTGCGTCATGGCGCGCGGAGAGTGATGGTCACTATGAAATGCGTAATGGCACTGCGCCACTGGCTGCACCCGACTTGTCTAGTACGGGGCGTGCTTATGGGTGCTGTCCTATCGCGGGAGGTGGTCACCACAGACCAGTGACGTGCGGTGAGGTTCATGGCTGGTGAGGCACTGACTCTTTCAGAGTCAGATTTACAAATATTATATTTTGACCTTAATCGAAATATTCGGTTATTTTCAAAAGCTTTTTTAGTCTGATGCTTCAATTCATTTTAAACAGACCGTTCAACAAAAGGATAGGCCTACCCACAATTTAAATATTGGATTGTTCTTTCTTAGTAAGATTCCATTTGCATTACAATTGTGGTCTTACCTTGACTTGAAGAGTCCAGCGAGCCTAAATATCATATATACGTGAAATAAGTTATTTAGAGACTATGGATGGCAATTATAAATGTAATAAAGGGATCTACAAACATTACATTGGTGACATACAGTGAGATGGTGCAGGCATGCGCTTAGGGCCCGCTTTCCAGCCAATTTCTGTGGGGTGACGCATTCTGAGGTGAGGCAGAGCTCATCTGTGCCTCACCTTACCTCACAGTAACTGGCTTGAGCGCGCTCACAAAATAAGTGCTCGCGCTAAATTAGTGCCCGCGCTCCAGCCAGTTACTGTGGGCTTACGTGAGGCAGAGCTCGTCCCTGCCTCACTTTTCATCGCTACCCGTAGTTGTAGCGGAGCTCGGCAAATTTGCTGATTTTGACTATAAAAAGCGATTGGAATCATACAGAAATCACATTTACAAAACAGATCAGTGACCAGACACTTTTGATCAGACATTTTATTATTATTACTATTTAGTTTTTCTTTAGTTGTTTTTCCGTTACATTGGAGTATGACAGGTGAGGCTCTGCCTCCCCTGACTGCACGTCGCTGCCACAGACGCTTGTCTGACAGGCTGGGGGGGTATATACGAAGGTCGACCTGTGAGGGGTCTCTGGAGCAGAGACCTCCAACGGTCACACATAAATTATCTGGAGCTTTTAGCGGTGTTCCTCACCCTGAAACGCTTTCTGCCTTTTCTCAGAGGACATCATGTCCTCGTGAGGACAAACACGACCACAATATCGTATATAAACCGCCAAGGGGGTTTGCGTTCTCTCCAGTTACACATGCTGGCACGCAAACTGATCTTATGGAGCTGCAGACGTCTCCTCTCTCTGAGAGCGACGCACGTACCAGGAGCAGCGGCGCCGGATTCCTTTCAGAAGTGGGGGGCCAAAAAGTGCGTGTGTATGTGACATAGCCTACTTGCCAACCCTCCCGATTTTCGCGGGAGACTCCCGTTTTCCTCCCGGGGTCATATTTATCCCGATTTCTGACTAAATCTGATTTGTTTCATTCTAACATAACGCACCAAATGTCAGAGGTGTGGACTCGAGTCACATGACTTGGACTCGAGTCAGACTCGAGTCACACATTTTATGACTTGAGACTCGACTTGACAACATCACAAAAGACTTGCGACTCGACTTGGACTTGTACACCAATGACTCGGGACTTGACTTGGACTTGAGCCTTCTGACTTGAGGTGACTTGCTACTTTAATTCAGAGGTCTCCAACACGCCGATCGCGAGCTGCCGCTAGAAGAGCAGACTCCCGTCGGGGAAAGCAGAATCTTCAGCCGCTCCTACTCTTGCTGAGAATCCTTGCAGGCAGGGGCGGGTCTTTATTTAGCTGGGCCACCATGCGGCCAATCATATGCGAGGACACACTAGGATCATACCATTATGTGAAAGAAGGGTGGGGGCACAGCATGTGCAGAGCGACGGGGAGACGGGGAGCCGGATTTAAATGCAAGCGCGTCGGAAAAAGTCAAGAAATGAGCGAAAACCGAAAAAAGAAGCAGCATCTGGCTGCTTTTCAATGATATTGGAGAAAGCAAAGCTGAGTGCAGGATTTGTAAAATGAAAATAACCTTCAGAGCAGGGTAAACACTCAGGATTTATTGTCAGAGGTGGGAGAAGTTCAGACAATTAAAAAAAAGTTACAATCAGGGTTCCCGTGGGGTCTTAACAAGTCTTAAAAAGTCTTACATTTGATAATCAGAATTGAAGGCCTTAAAAAGGTCTTAAATATGATTCAGAAGGTCTTAAAAATTATCGGATTTGAAAGGTACTTCTATGTTGCGATAGCGTCTAAATGTGTTTTGGGGGAAATGTCCGGGCTGCAAAGTAACCAGTACGGTAATAGCCTTTCAGTTCCCCCCAACAATTTGTATTGAATTAAATCAACATGGAACCAGTAATCACTAACTTTGTTTCCCCCGGCCCCTTGTTGGAGAACACCCAGCTAGTAACCTAGCAACCAAGCTTCAGCTCATGTAGCCTATCTTCGAATCTACTTACAAATAAATATGGGAAGTGTAAGTTCAACCGTATTTGGTTGGAAAACATCTAATTTAGTGCTTGGTTGAAACCAGTGGAGGGAACGTGTTTGAAGCCCGCTGCACCTTTTGCAAAAGAAATTAGCGTTTGTTTTGCTAGTGGAGCATTAGCTAGTGCAGCGTTAGCTAGTGCAGCAGCAGCTAATGCAGCGTTAGCTAGTGCAGCAGCAGCTAATGCAGCAGCTCCCGCAACAACACCGGGGGACCTCCGGGCTAAGTTTGGGTCTACGTCAACCCTAAAAGCGGAGGTGCTGTAGACGCTAAATACCGTAGCTAAACACCAATCATACAACAGCAACGATGAAATAGTGTAGCCAAGGCAGCAGAGCTCTGAATATAGCTCTTGTCACTCTCTCTCAGACACACACACACACACACACACACACACACACACACACACACACACACACACACACACTAGGGCTGCTCGATTAT